CTGCCTTGTCACCAATTCCAGAGGAATAAGGTATCACCCCCTCCTTTCCCAACCAGGGCCACACAGAGCTGGAGACAAAAAGGATCATCAAAAATATCCAGGTGGTAAGGAATAATGTAATACAACAATTTATCATTGTTCAATACTCAGCAACTGATCACCTGTGTTTCCTAAGTGCTAACTTAATAAGGGAAACAGGTGCCTTAAATAAACTACCTCCAGCAAGGCTTGCCTAAGGAAAACAGGTGCCTTAAATAAACCACCTCTAATGAGGCTTGTCTCAGACAGAAATTAGGCAGAGTACTAAGACCAGAATTACCTCAGGTAAATGTCACATGTCTCTATCTGGGCAGGCCAGATCTACCTCAGACAAATGCCAACTCCAAAATAAAATAATAATGATTCTTTCTCTCTAAGCTCTTCCTATGTCAACAGTATCTTGTCAAACAGAAGGTCCCCAGCCACAGCACAGGAGGTCCCCAACCACAGCACGGATGGACAGCTGCAGAACGAGGGGATGACAGAACATCATTCCAGGACCTCCACAATCATCCCAGGACTTCACAAGATACCCCTCATCCCCCCAAGAGCCAACCAATGCCCACTATTCAGCTGGAAGCAGTCTTTGAGAGAAACGTCGCCCCCGTACCCAGTCAGTCACAATTTTTTTTCTTTTTTAAAAAGGAAAGAGTCAGGAATGAAGGGTTCACAACATGCCCCCACGGTCGCATTTACCAGGCAAACACTTCCGCCTAGCCAATTCCAGGTCAGGATAGGCATTTCCGGGTCAGGGCGTCTCTCATAACCAGGACACCCGGCGGACCTGGACACCTCCGCCTAGCAAGTTCCGGGTCAAGGCGTCTCGCATAACCCGGATCCGTGACGTTACATGGTCACGTAAGTGCGCAACGTGACCATGTGATCTACGCACACGCGTGGAGTAGTGACGTGACCTGGCCACGCCCCCAGCCAGTTTTAAAGCAGAGCGCCATGTTCCCAGTTCTCTCTTCTCCATGCATGTGTCTCTCCCACAGGCCTGTGCACTCTCTATCCCTTTATCTCTAATAAAACTCTTATAAGCAGATTCTGTCGTGTTTCATGACGCTTCCTTGCAGGGTAAAAACACAACGCAGCTAAATAACTAACACCCTGGAACTGTACAATATTAAGGCTGGACCCTTAACTATTATACAAAAGCTTGGGTATATTACACATCCATAACCCCTTTTGCTTTTGCTTCTTACATGCTTTGCTGATCTTAAAGCTGCAGATCCCGGGGAAGAACTCCGTGTTTCCCTTCTCACTGCCCAGAGGCCGAGTTCTAGTATGTCCTAGTTTGCATCTCTGTTGTTAGCATTCAGACCGGGGACCTGGCCAATAAGCAGGCAATACCTTGGCCTGCCCAGGATCCTGACATCCTATGTATCCCATATCTCTATGTCCC